TGGGTGGGTGGGTGACACGCGACGGGGGGAGGGAGACCAGCCGGGTGGGTGGCCGTCTGGGCGCGGGTGCGGCGGGGGGGGCCTGCCAACGCGTCCAAGCTTCACCCCCGCGGGGTCCTGCGGGTGTTTCGGAGCCCCACTCTGCCTCCCCATCGTGCCCTGATACGGGGTCTGAAAAATCCCCCTTTTCGCTCCAAGATTGCGGCCTTTTTATCACCTCCATGTTCCTTCTGCCGTTCCCTCTCGTGGTCCCGGTTTGTGGGATTTTTTTCCTGGAAAGTTTTCTGTAAGGAAAACTCCGAAGGTTGCTCTGCAACGCCGTGCCCAGCACCCACGACGTGAACTGATCAAATTGAATAGGAAACCCCCCGAGGGGGCAGGCAGGGCCCCCAGCTGAGACCCCTACCATGCAGCCCACGACATGATTTCCCAGACCTCTGGCAGTGCCGCCTGACCGTTAATATATTTGACTTTTCTTTAGACAATGGTTACATAGAAGGGAAGGAGCTCGACAGTTTTTTTCATCACCTCCTGGAGAAACTGGGACCAGAAGTAAGTACTGCGCTTCTGCATTAGTTGTGCACCAAGTCCAAGCAAAAGGGTCGTTATGCTGAGAGGTGATTTGTATTTGTTGTTGTCTGATTGCGAGCTTCCTTAGCAATCCCCGAGGCAAAGAGCTTTTCTCTTGGCAACAAGGTGGTATTTAAGCAGGTATGACAACAAGCGCAATCACTTGAGAAGTTTGATCAGTTGCTTTCAGTCCAACAGCTGCTGTCACCGTGAGATTGCAGTTGGCACCAGCTAAAGGGGCTGGTTGGAAGCGCGGAGAGAAAGTCATTTACTGCCATTGAATAGAAACAAATGAAAAAGCACCGGCACACAGTCTGGCAGGGCGAGCGGGAGGACAAGGGTCCTGATGTATTCAAGCAAGCGCTGATTAGTTTTGTTAATATGATAGGTTTCTTTCCAAGGTCAGTTTTAAACAAATATGCTGTCATTTATCTTAAACGGTGCTTAGGAAGAAGACGTATGTCTCTATTGCTGAAAACGGCTAGAAGCCAAGCAAGAATCTATTCTGTTGCTCGTAAGGTCAAGACCTGGCTCTCATGTGTTTCTGGGATTCTCCCCTGGTTTCCTCTCCTATTTTTGGCAGCATTTCCCCTCTCTCACTCTCTGCATCCCAGTTCTACCAGAAGTTGCACGACAACTTACAGGGGCTGGTTTCCTTAGCTCCAGGTCATGCGTTGCCTTTGACTGTCACCATCAGTGAAGGAGAAATCCTACCACTCAGGTCAGCTGCTCAGAAGTATATTCTGAGAATATATTCTGATAACGGACTTAATATTTTTGCTACACAGCGTGCACCCAACTAGGAAGAGAAAATGAGTAAGCATCTTCCAAATGAAAGGGGAGGGTGTGCCAAAAAACAGAGATGAAACAATTGCTTTAAGCAAAAAGTAATTAACAAAAAAGGGAAAAGGTAGCTCATAAAAGGCATAAATTCATGAGTATCAAGTGTAAAATCAGAATTATACTGACAAGCTAATTAGGATTCTTTGGTCTTTGGTGCTGCAATAAAAAAATAGAAGCTGTGAATAATTTTTCAAGCATGTTTTTGTTTAATTTGCAAGTAGATTTCGATAAAAATATCGACAGTTTCTGCAGAAATGTCTTTCTAGTGCATGGATGGTTAGATGAACAGATAGGCACGTAAAAAGACTGCAAAGCGAAAAAAAAAGATTCAACAATAAGCACTAAGAGTCATTAGGGACACAGAAAAACTGACTTGAAGAGAAATTGAAAAGCTCATGATCATTTACTCAGGAACAAAAGATGAAATTGGGAGCTGCTTGTTTTGGGGTATTGAAACACCAGCACAAAGCACGCTCAAATGAACCCAGTGACAGCAAACGTGAGATCTTGAAGGGGAGGCTTAAAATGAGGCCGCAGAGCTCAACGCTGCAGTGGGTCGCTGAAGCAAGGGACCCCCAAGGTGGGCTCTCTAGAGTGAGCTGTAGCTGGTGATAAAACCGAGGTTTAGCCAGGGATCTCATGCTGCAGGCAGCTTCCTAATGATGAGAGGTCAAGAGGAAACTCCCAGCCCTGCTCTCGCCCATAGCTGCCCTTACACATCCCTCCCATGAGATTTTGGAGACAGCATCACACCAGCTGGGTTGCAAACCCGGTGTGTTATAGCAGGTTTTGTGGTCTTGCCGATATCGATGTGAACTCTGTTATACTGGGTTAGGTATCAGCACACAGAACACGCAAAATGAGGGTGTTCTAGCAATGAATGGTTCTGCTTCAAGAAATCAAGAACAGTTTCACTGATTGCCAAAAGTCATTGCTCACATGGCTCCAGCTTAAACCAGCACCCTCATCTAGCTTGTATCTCCTTTGGTTCTGCTGTCTAGGTTTTGCCATTAAAAGAAAAAGCTTAACAAATTGAACAAAGAAAAGAACCAACTCCTCCTCTCCGTATAAAACAGAAGAAATAGGCTAATTCCAGAAGACAGGGCTCACTAACTGCCAGGGTGCTCAAACAGGCTCTCAAGTGGTTTCGATCTTCTCCCCTGGTTTTCTTGCCTATTTTTGGCAGTATTTCTGCTCAAGTAGTATTACCCTGATGTGTTGCCTTGTTCCCCTTTGCCAGCAGTCTGGTTTCGGTTCTCATGGTCGTGTAGGGACAAAACGGTCTCCTACCCAGCAGGCAGAGCAGTCTGCCTCGGTGGCGGAAAACCCAAGGGGAGCTTTGTCCTGGGGGGCTGAGATCCTAGGTAGGGGGATGGCCTGCAGCGCTGGATTAAAGAAAGGTCTCTACTACCTTTGTACAATGTGTTTGTCTAACTGTATTGAGCCATTTTTCTCCCTTTCCCATGATTTGTGTTATACAGGCTTATTGTTATAGTAAGAGGGGTAAAGGATCCCCTTTGCACTGGTTTTCACCATCCTTCAGAAAGAAAGTGTCCTTCATGATACAAGCTGTGAGCTGGGACTGAGCTCGTTTTGACCTTTACTTCTTCTTTGGGCTCTTAACGCCTGTTTCTTTGCACAGTAAAAGAGGGAGACAGTAGTACACTGGCATAACTTCCAGATGTGTCACAAGGATTAATTAGTGACTGTGTCTGAAGTGCTATACAAATGATAAACAATGTTATCAGCACTGGAAGTTGTCTCTGCTTGAATAGCGAATGGCTTCATAATTATATTTTTTCAGCCTGCACGCTCTAAGCTGTTATTTTTCTTAATGACCACTGTACTCCTTCAGCTCTGTTTTTCTTCCCAGCTACTCTGCAGCATCCCCAGCTGACACTAAATGCCAGGGGAAGGGAGCAGCTGGGAAAACAATGCAAAAGGGAGCCCGTTGGGAAGCTGAGAGGCACAGCTCTTCCTGACAGCTCTGACCGAGGAAGGAAACTTGAAATACCATCCAGGGAGGGAGGCTAATTCATCATCTTTTATTGAACCATCAAGAATTTGGAGGGGGGAAAGGGAAAACTTTGCAACAAAGGTAGGCCTACAATAAACCAACCCAAATTCCAGATGCTGCTTTCTGTCCCTCCTCCTCCTCCAGCAACAGGCAATTGCTGGAGGCATTGGACAATGTCCTTAATAACATGCTTTAACTTTTGGTCAGCCCTGAAGTGGCCAGGCAGTTGGACTAGATGATCGGTTTAGGTCCCTTCCAACTGAAATATTCTATTCCATTCCATTCCATTCTAAAGAAAATGCCTTCAATTTCCAGGTGCGTGTTACATATCCCTAACGCTTCAGTGATTTATAACACTAAAGTTTATATAAATTCTCCATCAGCTAGAGGGGCTTCTGTGATTTGGTTTGTTTGGGGGATATGAGGCAGAATCGAGAATAATTCAGCCATGCACCAGCACAGATTTGTGAACTGCTGGCATTACCCATCTGCTGCCATTATTACTCCTATGACTTCTCTCTAACTATTTGAGCCTCCAGCTTCCAACCTGCTGCTGCATGGCTGCTGTGAGCTGCCTGTGCTCTCTCCTGCTCGCTTATAAACTTCTTTCTTCTACATTATGGCCACCTTTCTATGCATTTTCTAGAAGTTTTTATACTGAGGTGAAAACTTAGCGGAAAGGACAGTTTCTTTCAGCACTGAAGAAGTAATTTTATTGGAATAGGAACTACAGCCTCTGCCTTTCTCTCTTATATTGCTGTACATCTTTCTTTATCAGTATAGAGATCATTCAGCACCTTCTTTGCTTGCTCTTTGCTATAGTTTTAATGAAGCTCTATGTATCGTCTCATAATAATTAGGCAAGAAGAGTTTTATAGATGAATGGCTATAAATTTGGGGTTTGGATTACTGAAAGTTTCCATAAAACCAATGATGTCTGGGCAGATACAGAAGGAAATGCACATTGCCCTTATGCTTGTAGGGCTTTCACAGAAAGGTCCTTCACTTTGCTTAAATTGTGCTAAAATTAGACAGGAGACTTTCAGATAAAAGTCGGTTGCCCTCACCTAACAGTAAGTCAGTAAGAGACCACGTGTAAAAATTTTTGAAGTATAAATTTGATCAGGCAAGACAGGTATGAGCCTTGTTATAATGCCCCTGCCCCCAAACCATAGTTTTGATTTGGATAGTTATGACTGAAAGGGACTGAAGTTAATCTTCAGGAGCTCACCCTGAATAGCCTTAAAGGATTTGTCTTTGCTTTTTACTTCCAAAGAAGATGAGCAGTCTCCAGCTACTCTTGCACTTCATCCTTGCTTTGCACAATGCATTGTCTATGTAAATTAGGTGTTCAACTTAGTATGGTCAGGAATGCAGCAGCTAGTCATTCAAACAAAGTTTAATGGCCAAAATATCAGCCAGCCTCCAAGCCATCCAAAGCAGACTTCCCCTATTTTTAGGGGGGGTTTGCCACCCTAAGAGACCCAGGATCACAGAGCATGTGTCTGGTGACCAGCAGATCAACAGCAAGAAGACCCCTAGCAGAAAGCATTCATCTTGCATCCTCCTTCAAACTAATTCAGAAGTCTAAACCCTGAGTCGATCCTGATTGTTTAGACGTGAGGAAGACATTCTTTTCTGTGAGGATGATGAGGCACTGGAACAGGTTGCCCAGAGAGGTTGTGGATGCCCCATCCCTGGCAGTGTTCAAGGCCAGGTTGGATGGGGCTTTGAGCAACCTGGTCTAGTGGAAGGTGTCCCTGTCCATGGCAGGGGGGGTGGAACTAGATGGTCTTTAAGGTCTCTTCCAATCCAAACCATTGTATAATTCTGATTATTGCCAAATACAGCTATTTCTTTAGGTGTGTTTTTTGTCAGCCTTGATTAGCCTGACCAGGTCCTATTCCTGTTCCTGCACATTAAGGCAGGGCACTGCAAGTGCCTGGAAGTATCTCTAAATGCAAACTCAACATGCCTGTGAGAAAAAACAGACGTGATGTGTTTTCATTGCCCAAAGGCATGTCAAAAAACTTTCAGCCTAGCAGAAAGGGCAGAACAAAGAACCTATCCAAAGCCTAACCACAAAACCGTGATGGCACAGGGAAGGCTGTAATAGCCTTTG